CTGTCGGTCTCGGCGACCCAGTCTACGCTTGATCGAGACACCACGAGTATCCTTTTCTACTGCTGTATATTTGTTTAATTTTCTTCTTTTTATATATTATTATTATTTAAACAAAAAAAATTACATGTTAGTCGCCGCGGGCCGCGGGAATTTTGTTCTCCACGGCCGCGGCGACCAATGGCCTCCTTTAGATATCTAACTTCTGCGCGCGATTTCTCGCGGCCTCGGAGATAACTCGCGGCCTCGGAGGCTGGTCGCGGCCCGCGACCAATTCTTCGCCGAGGCCATGGCGACTGCTTGGTCCCTGACCAGCCACTTCTGCTCGCACAGCTTCGCGGCCGCGGGCAAGGTTGCGGCCCGCGGCGAAGAAAAAATGCCCGCGACGGCAGATTCAAGTCGCGACCTGGGGACAGTCGCGGGCCGCGGGACTCGCGTTTTAAAGCGCCCTAGGACAGCAATTTGGCCATTCCATCTTCTCCAACACTTCAAACAAGCCCGGGGATTCATCATCATTCCCTTCAATCATCACCTAGCACCGAATTTCTTCGCTTATTTCACCAAGCACTCTCACTTGGCCGTGGTTATCCTCCAAAGGGCCGTGCACGAGACTTTCCAACGGTGGAGGAGTGAGATTCGCAAACCCTAGTCGTTGCACCGTAGTTGCCCGCCGCCGTCTCCGTCGTCTCTCCGGTGAGAAGCCCTCGCTGTCGTCCTCTCCGGCCGTCGACGTCACGCTTCCGGCGGCACCACTTCCCATTGGTTCCGTATAGCCGTCATCTCTTGATCCGCTCCCGCCGGTTTAGTATAGCCGCTAACATCCGGTAATCGTGATTTCTACTTTCGATTTGAAGTTGTTGAATTGTTGGTGTTGGTTGTTGAGACATAGCAATTGAAGGAGGGTACTTGTGGAGATCATCCATTGTTCACAAAACTTGAATTACCAATTTGGCACACAAGGTGTTTGATATATTGCCCGAAAGACAATTCGACTTCTTTTTGAAATGGGCAAGACACCGACTCGTCCGACTAAGAAGAAAACCACCCAAGAGCCGGCTAAAAAGCGGAAGGCGGGCGA